ACTATACATTTTAAATCTACTGCCTTGTGAAAACAAACCCAAAGTTATCTCTCACCTGGAAACAAAGTACCCACCCATTGATCTCATTTGGAAGACCAGGGAGAGGAAAGCCAGACTTAATATTCTCGGCCATTGACTATGTGAACTTATTATATAGATGTAAATTCTCTGGGTCTCCATTTCTCTCTAAAACGAGTACAACAGTCAATGCAACTTAACATACACTATTGAGAATACAATCAAAACTATAGCCTTTGCTTCAAATTCTGGCATTCCTAAATTCTAGACTTTTATGGCTGTGTGTTTTCACTTTTAGGTTTATGAGAAATGTGACTAGCTGGCTCTAAATGTGATTTTAAGATATGATCTAAATTTTCAATCAAGTGTATCAGAACCCCTTGGCTATGGTATCCATCACCAGGAAATGGTGCGATGGTGGCCGACTCCTTTTGTTGAGCACCAACAAATGTAGAGTGTTATTCTACTGAATTCCATAAAACAAAGTGCTTTGTTAATTTTCATTTTGCTGTCCCTGAGGCTTAGCAATGCCAGAACTATCTTCAAAGGTATTTTGTATTCATCAAATAAGATTTATCCCAACTATGGTCAGTTAACATGAAAAGAACACAAGCTCCAAACAGCTTTTTATTCTTCCAAAATGTAATGCTTTACTAGAGAAACAGCCTGAATAATTAGCAATCTGATTGCTAAAATTAAGTAAAAACAATGTAAGATTTAAAGAAATGGCAACCACTACAAACAAGATTCTTCTTCCATTAACCTTAATTCTAATCAGTCACTGTTTAGCTGTTTCTTTCTACCACAGTGAGAACCGTATTTTTCTTACAATTGCTAAGGAATTTTGTTGACATAAATTACACCAGTAGAAACCACAATATCCTTGGGCCTTGGGCCCTTATGTAAAATTTATGCCTATGATGTCTGTAGTAAATAAATGGTAAGACAGACCTTTGAATCCACCGGCAGACTGGACACAGTCTCCTCACCCACATTTCCACATCTTATCCTGTGTTCTAATGTTTTTGAGGATTCCAACCCATTGGCTGAGAATATTTGAAATGAAAGGGACAATGAGATTTAAAAGATAAAAAGATACCTGACCACAGTGCATAAACTCAGCAAGAAGTTTAATTACGACTCAGTTTTCATTTCTTTACAATAAAGAAGCACGTGATCAAGTCTTTTCATTATGAAAATTGGTATAGGCCTGGGAACCAAAGAAAAATCTGCAGAATAAGATTATCTACCTATTCAGTAGAATTCCCTCTAACCAGAACAAGAACTGTGGACTATCCATACGGAACCAACCTTGTGATTTTACTGCAGAGGTCAGCTACATGCGACACACTGCCATCACACAGCTGTCTAAGTTTGAAGTTTTCATCAGCCGCAACGGTGATTGTGGGATGGCTACCTGAGCAGTGATCAAAATCCCAGGTCTTCCCTATGATCTCTTCCGATCAAACAACCCCAAGCTCAAAAACCTTGAATCCCAAATAAAGTGACACACCGAAGAGAGATACAATGTTAGTTTCTGAAATTTTATTATTTTTAATACATACATGTCACAAACAGAAACCTTCAAACACCACACACAATTCCATAACCAAATGTTTCAGGTTTATCAACATTCTTTAACTATTTACACTTTCTCCCCCAACAAAAGTGCAATCCAAGACATCTTGACAAGAAATGTTTACTGACAAGAATATATTTGTGAGCTGGTTTTAATGATGCCCATCTGTTATTTTTTCTTTCCATTACCTGGAATAATAACAAAGTCAACAGGACACAGAGATGAGCTGGGTTAGGCAGCATCCTATTAAAGGAACGAAAACACTGAACAGGAGCACTTATTCCTCAAGTCCTCCCCAAACCTCCAACTAAAAATGCTCAAGAGCTGCAACCAGGAGACCAAAGAGGAGAGCTGAGTGGAGGTCCTGATCCGGGCACAGCACAACAGACTGTACATTAAGTGTCAGTCTTACAGGACAAAACAGAAGACTGCAGCAAGCTAGGTCTCACGGTCTGAGAAGTTACATGTCAGCCTATCCGTTAGTTTTAGTATTTCAACACCGAATAATATTCTTTCCTGATGAGGTCATCTCCCCCCAAACAGATACGAAAATACTTTTTATTCTGAAAATAAGCTTCTTTTGCAAACACTGGAAAGTAAAGACCGGGGAGAACTCTTTCTTAGAGTAGAATAATTCATCCCACTCCGCAATTCATGGCCAATGTCTATCTTTTAATCAAGCAGCTGAGAAACTCAGTATATCTATCACTTGCTTCAGATGCAACCAGAAGGGAGTGGAGAACTGAGTCAGCCTGAAGAGGAAGTAATAAAACCATCAGAAAGAGTTTCTCACTAGAATGAAGCAGGTAACATTTTATTTGTTCCAGGTACAGAATGCTTAAAACTAAATGAATAAAAAAAGAGTTAGAACAGATGAAAACTCACTTTGAAATTACTAATCACTTACAAGTGGTTCATTTTATTGAACACTACTTATCAGAAAAAAAGAAAATGGATCTCTGGTGTGACTAATGTCCTTTAATATCCGAACCACAACAAAAATGGTCATTTTTGACCTATTCCAATTTCCACCAGAGCAAAGTACTTTGACAAAGTGTGGCAAAAATACCAAGGTCAGCACATTTCCAAAATAAGATTTATTCTCCACATTGTTGCATACTCAATTATATTTTATTCTCAAATAAGCCAGATTCTCTACTTTAGAGGAGAACGTGATGCCTTAAAGGCAAAAGATACTCTCAGATGATACCTGTGCCTTGACTTTTAACATAACTGCAGCATCCACAGAATCCTAACTTTGTCATCCAAATAAAGGTCAAAAGCAAATTTTATCCAATTACAGGGAAAACTCCTCATCTTACTTTTCAGAGAGTAGAAAACAAATATAAGGAAAAAATACTGAATGCATCAGACACTACACTCACGGTAGTTTTAGACTACTAGGAGCTTGTGAATGTGTCAATGTGTCAATTTTAAGATCCAGAACAACAATATAAGCAGGTTTCTCTACAAAATTTTAGGTGAATTAAAAAACAGCATTACAGACATTTATTTTACTATATGTTTTAAGTTCAGAACTGAAATCCAAATGCTACTCTTAGGATAAGAGAAACCAATTTTTATACTTGGGTACATGAGAGAATCAATGGGGAACCAGTTAATTCACAATTACAGCTTTGTGTATTAAAGACAAATTTGCAAGGGCTTTGTCCTATAGACCTTTTAAGTCGCATCAAATACTGTCAGACCAATATCGATTTGCCACTTCTTAAAGGCATTGGGCATTTCCCCCTACTGTGAAATATTTTTCAGATCATCAAACACCAAACCAGATGCAGTAAACCAAATTACAATCATCCAAACTGAAAGATAAGAATATTAGTCAATATGCTGGTTCTTTAATGTTGTTATGTCAAACAAAACATCAAATATTTCATACAATAGAATGGAGACTTGCTTGCAATAATAGCTAAATGCTTCTGAGAGGAAAAACAGCTGTCTTTCTGAGAGGGAAAAAAAAAAAAGGTATAAACCAAATGAATAACACAAAATGCTCACATAACCCCAAATTTGGCTACCCATGAAACGACTGTACTTTCAGCATTCTATTAGCCTACATGTGTAATACTTGAAATTATCAAATCATTTTTGAGGGATCATATTCCAATTACAATTCTATACGGGTATGAGGTGCCCGTCTATTTAAACCATCAAGCTCTCATTAACACACGTCCGTATTTTGGAAAGCCCAATGCTCTGACTAATCGAGTTACACAAATTACCATCTTTTTTCACTAACGGTGAAGTATCACAGAGAGCTTCAGAATGATCTCTTCTCAAACATACTGTTACACATTACAACAGGTAATGTTTTGAAAAATGAAACACATTTAAAAAGAAATATTAAAGTTCTTTTCCTCATATCCTCAAAAGCAATTTTTTCCTTTCCTTCCTGGGGTCAAACCTATGATTTGGGAAACTCAGCATTAAATGGGTAAAATGTGGCCATAACAGTTTTGTGGAAGGTAAGGCATGGTAACGGTGGCTCTGAAATTCACCAGTTAGGGTCCACGGCTGTGAGATTACCCCTAAGAAGGATCTGACATCAGATGACACCTCGACAGTGCAACCTACATAAATCGACACCCACCCAAATCATGTTATTCATGGATTCTCTTTCAGGGCTCATCTGACCAACCTCAAAGACACAATTCAAATGACAGGGTTCTTTCTGCCTGATCTTGCCCCCTCCCTAGAGTCACTGTGTATCACTTCCAAATTCACTTAGCATATTCTCTGTGACAGGTCACTTACCCACAAATATTTGCAACACTATTAGTTTTCACAGGTCTTATAATTCGGATATAATTTTCAGGAGGACAACTGCTAAGTCACAACAGTGACAGAAACAGCACTCGGGTCTACTTGCAAATAATGTGGTCAGTGTGCAGTGCAGAACACTAAACCAAGACAGACTCATCCACTATCAGCTCCCCAGGCACAGACTCACGTTCACACATCACGTGTTTTTCCCAAGGCCCCGGGAAGATCTAAGAAGTGGGTCTTGAGACGGTTAATAAGATCGGAACAGGAGTTTCCTTCCAACACCTACCATGCTTTTAGTTTATAACCACATAATCCCTTTGCTAATTTCACCCTATCCTCCCCACCACCTTCAAAGCTGCATGAGAGACGCTTAGTGATGGTGAACCGCTAGCCCAGACTCACAGGATTATCCGTTTGGGCTCCGGTCGTGACCACAGACTAACACTGAGGAGTCAAGAGAGGGCAAGGGGCCAACCCCATGTCAGTGGCACATGTACACAAAGGAACTCTCCTTTAAATTAGAAAAGAAAGTAATGTCACAGAATGTCTCCCTATAAAAGATATGTAATAAAGAAGTAAGGTCAATAAAATAGCTACTACTAAAGCAAAGCTTTCATCAATAAGCTTCGAGAACTTTGAAGGAGGAAAATGGCTTCACGAAATGGTAGTCCAGGTTCCCACAGTGCGGACACTGCTGGACATTGCTGTACTCGGAGAAGTACTGCATCCCGATCCGTACGTCTATCACAGGCTTCCCGCAGTGCTTACAGTTCAGGCGGGCCTGGGGGGGAAACACAGACGCGTGAGCCACGATGCCCTTCTGTCTCACAGCACAGTCAATGTCACCCACACCGCGATGCAACACTGCTAGGCCAGAGAAACGGATCGAGAGTTTAGCAAAGCGTCCCTTTCATTGCCAAAAGCAGGTTATGCAAAGCCTAAGACGCATGCTCAACTGCTCATCGTCAGTCTGACGCACTGACTCTTAACATTTCTCCCTGGATGTGCACACCGCTAGCATTTCCACCTACTGGTACGAAGACAACTCCAAACCTGTACTGCCCGAACGTCTGCACTAAAGTTCCCCTAACAACAGGAAACCCCCTCCCCTGGATTGTACCGAGTGGCTGAAGCCAACTTCCCTCATTCAAAGCCTCATGAAGCTTCTGGGAACATGCTGAGTTTAGGTTAAAACTTCATATACATTTCTTTCTGCTCCTTACTGCCCTTGTTTCCTTTGATGTAAAAATAAAATGGCCCCTAAAATACTCAAGGAAAATTAACGATCCAGGAAGAAGTGCTATGTTTATCCTGAGGCTTCTGGGAAACCACCGCACAGCAGATCTTCATTCGTGCCTGGGCCTCTGACAGCACAAGACTAGAGTCTTTCAGCAAAAAGTCCAAGAACTTAAGTGAATAACCAGAAATGATAAATACAACAGACTCTCAATTTAGACTCATTCTAAAAATGTAATAAAAAGTATGATCTCATTTTGCGCTCAACACACTCCTGTGAGGCGTGTGAATTTTAGATGAAGAAACTGAGGCACACAGTGAGAGAGCAACATGGCTAAGACCACAAAGTCAGGAAGCAGAAAGGCTGGGAACGGAACAAAGTAGCTTACTCCAGAGCCCACATGCTTAGTCGTGACATGGACGACTTTTCTGGAGTCTAAGATCAATTCTCTTTTAGCTGATTAATCTCTCTGAACAACAAAAGTGAAATTCTGGGCAAACCTCTCTCTTTAATCATTCTCTTTAATCTGCTGTTCCTTTCAAATAACTAACCATCGCTTATTTTTGGCTCAAAGTCTTATTAGAAGACTTTCCTTGATTCCTTAATACTGTCTAACACTTGTACCTTCCCGGTGAATAAACAGTTGACCCTTGAACAACCCAGGTTGAACTACATGGGTCCTCTTATAAATAAGCAGATTTGTTTAAATAAATACAATAAAGTATTATAAATGTATTTTCTCTCCCTTATTATTTTCTTTATAATATTATCTTTTCTCTACCTTATTCAATGTAAGAATACAGTATACAATACATATGATATACAAAATATGCGTTAATCAACTACTTATTTATGTTATCGGTAAGGCTTCTGGTCAGTAGGAGACTATTAGTAGTTAAGCATTTGGGGAGTCAAAAGTTGTATGTGGATTTTCGACTGCACAGGGGATCAGTGCCCTTAACCCCTATGTTCAAGAGTGAACTGTAATTAATTGATATTTTTTTAAAGCCAAAGAGTAATCAAACATGTTTTCCATTTTACTAGGAGGCCATAAAATAAAAGTCTGAGCTTAGAGTTTTAAGGAAGAAATACATAGTGGGTACCAATACTGGGTATGGCAGGATGCCATTCTGCTTTCCTCCCTAAAGATAAGGAAATAATCCCATTGCCTTTCAAGCGTCTAATAGAAAGAACACCAGACTGGCTGTGACACATTTGTAAAGACCTGGGCAAAAAGGTCTATTCTGTGTGTGGAAAACAAGGAGGCTAAACTAGATCTCCCAGGTCCTTCCCGGCACCAACATTCTATGAGGCACAGGCCCCAAATTCTTTTATTTCCTTATTTCTTTAAAAGAGAACCCTCTCTCGTGTGTGTAAAGAGAGAGAAGCCGCCGCCTCCTGTTTCTCTCATCTCAAGAGCTGCCATCACGGCACGATGGATATTACAAAACGCTACAGTGCAGAACTCAAAGGCTAATGAGATCTCATTTCCAACGCTAATGGAATTTTAAAATGGAAATGTGGTCAATGTATCAGAATAGCATAAAAGTGGTCAGTCCTATCCGGAATCAAATGACAGGCTACGGATGGCCATCTAGGTCTCTCACGGCCATGCTTCTCTTCTGAGAACACTAGTAGAGACAAAATATAGCTGAAAAACCCACTCCGCCAACCTTTTAATTCAACCGACACAGGTTATCACAGGATACTCTCTTTATAAAATCACACCATAATGCTAAAGATACAAAACTATGTAGTAACCAATAAAGTGTGTACTAGTTATTGACATTGAAAGCCAGACTTGGCCACCAAAGAGCCAAGGAAAATTCTCTCCTACCCATGAATATCAAGGAATCCTAAAACGAGGCTTTCTTTTCCCCAAGCACTTGGAAACAAACCAAGATACTTCCAAGAAATTTCTTTTGTCTGCTGTGTTTCCATGTACTTATTAATATGTTTTCAGAGGCTACCACCTCCCTTTTTCCTGGTGGCAGCTAAGTTTTGGAAAATGCTTCCTCTTACCGGTGCTTTATGGATTACATATCTTTCATGTTGACCTCCCAACACTGTACAAAGCAGGCAGTTCCTGGGTAACTTTACTATCCCATAGGAAGAAAGCAAAAGAAAATCCTCTCTATTAAAGAAGGGGCTTGAACCCATGAACTATGAGACCATGACCTGAGCTGAAGTCAGACAACTGAACTGACTGAGCCACCCAGGCACCCCTAAGTAATAGCTTTTTTTTCTTACTAGAACCTAAGTATACGTTAATCATACAAACATAAGAAAATAGAGCAAAAGAAAACTTAGGGAACCAATTTGCATCCCACCATCCAGAAACAACCTCTGGTTAACAGGCCAGCAGCTCCCTTTTTACAAATGGAAGCATACTTCCATACATATTATGCTATTTTATAAAGTACCTTTGTGACTTGAAATACTAAAACTCTTTCTTATGAATTAGATATTACTCTACATACCCCTTTGAGTGGCTGCCGAGTATTCCAGCAACAACTCCCTCACACTGGTGAATCAGCCATCATCCCTGGACTCTGGGGAAGTCTTAGGATTGTTCACTTATCTGCCTCCTCCTCTCCCAAGCTAACTACAGCACTGCCTCTAACTCTTCTACACCGACTACAGAAAAGAAGCCGGAGATCATCCACAGCTCGCTCTGTGGGGCCAATACCAACCTGACAGCACGGAGAGGCGGCCAGGATGTCGTAGGTGTACATGGTGCCCAGCTGGTGCCAGCTGCCGTCCCACCGCGACTTACACTTGATGCAGATGATCTTGTGAACCCCTTCCAGGCAGTCCACGCACACCGCGTACAGGTGCATGAGTCTCCCTGTGCACAGAAGACATAATGCTGAGAGTGGCCGTTAGAAGGGATAAAAAAAGTGGGTTACCCATCAATTATAAACAAACATGTTATCATTCAAATAAAATAAGCAAAATAGGTCCTATTTATCACATATCCCCAAGATGTCCTTTTAGAATAATGATGAATAGTAACTATTATCAATGGGACATATATTTGAAGTTCAGTTTTAATAAATATTGGCTCAATTCACTTTTCCAAAAAGAACTGACAGGTTTCCAATATGGACATCCAAACTCAAATGATCAAGCCACAAATGCTAAAAACTAGCCAGTGATGACAGAGGACTTTCTGCTCGGAAGTCTGTGCGTGGTGTGGGGACTGAACCACAACGCTAGTCTTCAGTCAAGGGCTTTCATCCACCGACAGGTCCCATCATAAAAAAAGGCAAAAGTCTGTCTTGATATACTGGTGGCCCAGAATTCTACCACAGCCACGATTACTACATTAACTGTCTTTGTCTCCAAAACTGCTCAGCCATCACCATATTTAATTTAGGAACCAGAATTATAGCTTACTTGTAAGTGGTTATTTAAAAGGATTTCAATGCTTTGTTATTTACTTGGCTCTTCAAAGACACAACCCCATTCTTCCATCACCTATTAACATCTAGTGCTTGAGAAAGAAGTCACCCTTGTTTACACAGAAGGGTTAGTTAGGATTCAAATCATTGGGAAAGACTGGGAATGTCCAGGATCAGCTCAGACAATGTGTAAGAGCAACACTGTTGCTCTCACAGGGAGCTCTGCTGTGCTGAAAGCTATGGTAAGAAGAACACGTCCTCCTCCAGAATGTGCTGCTCCCTGCCATCCGCCCACCCGTGGCTCTTCACCTTTCAGAGGTTAGGGCCAGCCTGCTCCTTACCTGTTGGGGTGTCGGGGGTAATACAGTACTTACAGAGACACTTTTCATTGCATTTGCTTACAAGGCTCTCTCTTCCTCCGTGAGGGTAGGAACACGTCTACACATGCGCGCACGCGCGCGCACACACACACACACACACACACACACACACACACACACACACTGTTCTCAGGACTATCTAATTTTCACCTTTCTCCACCCATTCCCTGATAGGTTCCCTTCAGACATGGTCCTGGGCTCTGCCATATACTCTTCCTTTACTTTCTCTTTTCTCCCTATTCAAGAGTTCTTCTAATCTTAAAATCTGAACCACCACTGTTATAAAAGAAGCTCCCCAAATGCTTATTTCTCAAGGTGCTTGCTACATAGACCTCTCCAGCGAAGAGTCCCAACACCCCTTCAAACCCAAAACACACCAATGTCCTCATCGTCTTTCCCCTAAGACAAGTCCCCTTCCCAACATTCTCCACTCCCGTCCATGACAGCATCATTTTTCTGATCTAGAGCCAAAGTGAGCTAACAGGGATGCATTCTCATCCTCTATAGGCAAGCTGTCCCCCAAGCCTCAATTTTTCCTTTAAAATAATCTCCTGTAGATATATATTCCTACCTTTCAGTTCCCACTGTTAGCACCCAACAGTCTCTCATCTCCTGCCATCTAGACCGGAGATAGAAGTTCTACCTCCCTTTAAAAAAAAAAAAA